GGCAGTATGGACATTTTAACTGTATTCTTTCTATCCATGAGCATGGTATATGTTTCCATTTATTTCTCTCTTTAATATCATATAATTTTCTAAGTACAGGTCTTTTACAAATTTATTCCTAAGTATTTTATTTTTTACGCAACTGTAAATGGGATTTTAAAAACATGTCTTTTTCTGATAGTTTGTTATGTGTGTATAAAAATGCAACTGATTTCTGAATATTAATTTTGTATCCTGCTACTTTACTAAATTCATTTATCAGTTCTAATAGGTTTTTGGTAGAATCTTTGGGGTTCTCTGTCTATATAGTAGCATGTCATCTGCAAATAATGGCAGTTTTACTTCTTTCCCAGTTGGATGCGTTTTGTATATTTTTCGTGTCTGATTGCTGTGGCCGGGACTTCCAGTACTATTTGAATAAAAGTGGTGACAGTAGGATGAAGTTTCCTTCTGTACCTAGTTTGTTGAGTGTTTTTATCATGAAAGTGTTGGATTTCGTCAAATGCTTTTTTTCTGTGAGATCGTGTGATTTTTGTTTTTATTCCACTGATGTAGGTTACATTGATTTTCAGGTGTCAAACCAACCTTGCATTCCTGGGATAAGTCCCACTTGGTCATGGTATATAATCTGTTTTATGTATTGCTAGATTTGGTCTGCTAGTATTTTGTTGAGGATTTCTGCATCAATATTCAAAAGAGACATTTGTCTAGTTTTATTGTCATGTCTTCATCTGATTTTGGTAACAGTAATACTGGTCCCATAAAATTAATTTGGAAATGTTTCCTCCTCTTATATTCTTTGGAAAAATTTGTAAAGAATTGGTATTCTTTAAATATTTGATAGACTTCAGTGGTGAAGCCATCTGGACCTGGGCTTTGTCAGATATTTTTTTGAATTATTTTTTTCTTTTTTAAAATTCTTATAGGTATGTGTCCCTTCATTTCATAGATCAGGAAACTGAGACTCAGAAAAGTTAAGTAATTTGCTAATAAGTGGCAGTGCTGGGATTTGAATCTGGATTACCTTATGTCACATTCTAGGATAACAATAGCTAACATTTATTGTGTAATTAGATATGTGTCTCTAATCATATAATGTGCTTTAACATATTAATCTTCTGCTAACACTCCTATCACCAAATGCTCATTTAATGGTCACTTCAACTTTATACGTATTATACCCATTTTCAGATAGAGACTCTGGCACTTAAGGAGATTTATTGACTTGCTCTACTGAACCATGGCCAGGAAGTAAGTGGTGCAGCTGTGCTGCGTACTCACAAGGCTGTCGGACTCTGGAACCCTTCCTCTTCATTGCTTTTCTTTGTTGGGTACAGCAGAAGCAGCTGTGCCACAGGTAGACAGCTGAGCCCAGATCAGGTTTGACCTTGGATGTGAGTGGGCTCACACTGCCCTGCAAGCTCCACTTGGGCATGCCTGGCTCAGCACAGCACTGTGGAAGCACCAGCTTTTCTTTCTCTCTGCTGTGTAGCTCACACTCTTCTCTGTGGCTGTAGCAAAGAACCTGTGTAACTTTGTGACTCCATGTAGTTAGGATGAAAATAAGTTGTCACTGTAATAATAGCAATGACTTTTTATTCATTTATTTATTTTTTAATTGGGGAATAGTGTGTTTTTTCCAGGACCCATCAGCTCTAAGTCAAGTAGTTGTCTTCGATCTTAGTTGTGGAGGGCGCAGCTCAGTGGCCCATGTGGGGATCGAACCATCAACCTTGGTGTTATGAGCCCTGCACTCTAACCAACTGAGCTAACCGGCCGCCCCAACAGCAATGACTTTTAAGGGTATATTAGTATGTAAGTCAGCCAGCAGATTTGTGTAATATCTTTCGATGAACACATTTGAAGCACTTTATATTAATATTGTTGGTGAGATTAGCCTGTTTGATTGAGGAAAGAGAAAAAATTGTCTTTATTTTTCAAGTTAGAGGCCTTCTTCAAATATCCGTTCACATTTAAAAGTGGGGCACAGAAAGCTGCCTTGATGCCTGTGTGGGTGGAAGGGCTGGTTGAGGGGTGGGCCTCAGAGGATGGTGAGGTCTCATCTGCCGGTATCTGGACCTGGCAGCCAGTGTTCTGTTCTGGAGGCTTCACTGTACAGACCCAGGTTGTCAGTGTGGCACCTCTTCATACCTGTGCTCACCTGTGCTGGGGGCCATCCTGTCCAGGGTTCACAGTCTGGCTTCTGCTGAGTTGAGTGCAGGGCAGTCCCCTGACTGTGCAGCACTGGAGGAGGTGATCCAAGTGTTTAGCTGCTCCTGATTTAGGCTTTCAGTCAATTTTCTCTGTGGTCGCTCTCCCACATCCCTATCTTTAGAGACGCCCAATTTCTCTTCTGAGTGCCCTGGGGTTTACAGTGGGCCTTGGCATCCTTTTGAGAGCCTCTCCTCCTGAGCCGCTCAGGTGAGTGGAGAACATTCGCGCTGCAGTCAGTTACACATACATGGTAGCTTTCCATCTTCCAAGATGTTGTTGTCACATTCGCTCTCTTCTTAGGCTCCTTTTCAGTGTCCTTTGTCTTGTCCTTCGGTGTTTATACCTGCTTTTATTCCTTGGCTGTCATTTTCAGGAAGGAGTGGAGATAAATGCCATTTGTATTTCGTTTGTAAATTACCTCTTCCTGTCCTTTTGTAATTTTTCATTGGGATTTTCATGTTCTGAATTTGTAAAAACGATGTATGAAGGATAGTCACTCTGACATATGGTACAGTCCTTTTTTCTTCTGTGTTAACTTACTTTTGAAACACTTGTTGGAAGGTCCTGGTGGAGATTCATGCTTTTGCTAACTTGTACAGATGGCTGTTTGGGAAATGGATCCTGAGACCAGCTGGCTGTACGTTGGCTTTTGTATGGATGTGCTTTTCTTGTGGTTTTTGCTACCTCATGGAAGCTGCCTTATCTACTCATGCTTGAGAATTAATCATACTGTTTCACAAATGAAGGACCCTGGCCAAGTGGAAGTGAATCACTTGCCATCTCCTCTACCAACTACTCTAAATGTATGGTCCTGGGAGCTGGAAAGCTCTGGCAACAGCTGGGCTGAGGAACATGGGTGCCCCATTCCTGCCAAGGGTCTGTTGCTTCAGCCCAGCAACGTGCCCCAGGCTTGGAGAGAGGCCATTTTTGTACATGTTTTAGAAGGGTAAAAAGAGGCTCTGGAAGAAATAAATTCTCTCCCTCTGCATCTAGCAGTGGGCCCAGAGCCACGAAGAAAGGAATTGGAAGGAATTAGCAATAGCCCATCATGTGTCCCATTTGGCACAGATGGACAGGTGTTAGCCCTCCCCTGTACTTAGGGATCGGGACTGGTTTCAACTGAGTTGTCAAGGTTTGACCATGTTGCAGTTCCATTTATGTTTTCTCCGGGCCCCTTCTATCCTAGCCAGTATGAACAGAATGTCCTACGTTAGCAGATCGGAAAATTACGCTGGGTGCAGTCTAGGAAACCTCAGCCAGGTTGGGCCTGGTGATCTTAAAGCACGAAGCTTTCAGTACACACGTCTGTCGGACAACCTAGTGGAATTTGGAGTCTGAAATGACCGATGGGGAAGTCCAGGAATACCAGTTCAGTGTCATTTCCCCTCCCCCAGGTGAATGATCAACTCTGACATGAAAACCCATCCTGGTTTCATTTCCCCTCCCTGAGGTTTTCCTGTCCTCTGCCCGACTGCTACTGCCACCATCATTCCAGGCCTTTCCAGGCCTGGTTGACTATGAGCTCTTAGCCCTTGCTTTTAGCTCCTTCCTGTCTAATGTAATATGTCTACTATGCTACTGTCAGACCTCTTGTCATCCTACACATCACTTTTATCACATTACTTTCCATTTAAATCCTTTCTCCCCTTTTCCAAGACCTGGCTTTTGACCTGTCGGCTGGCTGTCTTAGTCACTCCTGGTAGCACTTAGCACCAGGAGTTTGGTCCTGAGTTGCTCTGATTATGTTGGAAGGCTCTTGAAGACAAGCGTGGTTGCTTATATTTCTTGAATTCTCCACTACATGTAGCTGGTCTTCTGGAAACACTCGTGAGCAGGCACAGTTCTCAGACTGCGGAGTGCTGATGTCTGGGGAAAATGCTTAAAACTGAAAAATTACCTTGGCAGACTGAGGAAAAAGCCACAATACCATAACTTTATGGGGGGAGGGGGGTTTCTTGAGCTTCAAATCTACCACATAACTTAACTTTGGAGTTTTCTTTTCTGTGAAAGGGAAGGATGGGAGTTAATTATCTTTCAGTTCCCACCCAATCCTGAAAGCTAATTTTCCATCCTTCTTTGCCTTGATCTTTCCCCCGAAATTAAAACTGATGAGCAGTTTCTGGATCTTGAATTAGGACTTTTTCATTTCTTTGGAATTCTTTCCCTGACGCATTTGGATTTGCCATTTGGCTACTTTTTAGGAGGACAGACAAAATGCCATGCCATTCTGTTTTTTTCTACTTGGAGCTTTTCATTTGTAAAAGTAAAGCTTTCAGTTTAGGTGCATTATTTTATTTATTTTTTTTTTTATTTTTTTTTTTATTGGGGAATTAGGGGGATAGGAACAGTGCTGGGGAATTGGGGTAAGGGGAACAGACAAGTTGCTGTCGTTTTGTTCTTCAATCTAGTTGTGGAGGATGTCGCTTCACTGGCCCAAGTTGGCACCATCATTGCGCTCTTCTCTGGCGAGGCAGATCAGTCGCCGGCTTCTGGACGGCCGCTCACTGCGGCTGCTGGCCGCTCACGCTGGCTGCTGGCCACATACGGTAGCCCATGGCAACCCACTGCCACAGGTGCTGCAGCCCATGCCGTCGCCGGCGACTCCCGGCAGCCCAGCTCCAGGTTGAGCTGTTGTTCAGCATCTTAGCTGTAGAGGGCAGTGTCACTGGCCCTCATATGTGGGATCCGAACCGGGGCCCTCTGGCATCCCAAGCGAGTTCTTAACCGTCGTGCCACTCGGTCGGCCCTAGGTGCATTATTTTAACATAATTTTTGCTCTTCTACAGACACAATGAGGCGAGTGGTACGGCAGAGCAAGTTTCGGCACGTATTTGGACAAGCGGTGAAGAATGACCAGTGTTATGATGACATCCGGGTTTCTCGAGTGACCTGGGATAGTTCCTTTTGCGCTGTCAATCCCAGATTTGTTGCCATAATCATAGAAGCAAGTGGGGGAGGAGCATTTCTTGTGCTTCCTTTGCACAAGGTAAGTAATTTGACTTTGTGGTAAACACCCTCTGGTAATCTCTCTTTCTTTCATAATAGATTGACAGTTCACTAAGAAGTTTGTGATTGCCCACCATTAGACTCTGATGTAATCGAGGTGACATTTCCTAACCACAGCAGTTTTTCTCTAATAGAGAATTATTAAACAGAATGGTGAACTCTGTTCTGGGCGTGCCCCCTATAGATGAAAAAGATTATTATAATGATGCTGTGAGCATGGACAGGCACAGGAATTTTGCGATTTGCTTAGTAATCATCCACTTTTCACAGAAGTTTTTCCAAGAAGTGCAACTTTAAAAACGTGTTTTTAAGTGGGCAGAAATTTGTAAGATAATCTGTTTTTGTGTGAAGTCATGAGGACTGAGATGTTTTGGTTTTTTGAATGGTAAATGGGATGAAAGGTGAAGAAAAAGTCCCCAAACAATGCAGATTTCAAGTCTGGGCAATAGTAAGTTTTAGCATAGGATCTAAACAGCGTTAGTAAGTGGTAGAAATAAAAGACCTTTACAGAAAGTGGTTTCATGTGACCTTCAACTTCAGTGGGCTTTTCAGTCCTCCCTTCCCTGGTCTTTTATCCATTCAGAGAATCCTCTCCAATATGGGGGAGGAGATAGGAGATTTATGATTTTCTGGCTATTCTTGACTGTTGTAGATGAAAATCTGTACTTTTAACAGGAAATCCCTGAATCACAAATAATAGGGGCGGGGGCAGGGGTTGCTATGAAGAGAGAGAACCTGGAAAGTCATTTTCTAGTTAGCTTTTAGGAGGAAAATACGTTTGGTGAGTCCTGAGCCCTAATGATAAGGGCTTCGTGCCCGTGAGGATGCAGGTGTTGGGTCACGTTACAGCTGTTTCCACTCTGCCAAGAACAGTGGATCTGTCTCCCTGAGTTTGAACCGTGCGTATCAGGGGTACATCTCATCATAATGGACCATGTGATGCTGAAAGTGGTTACAATAAAGTAATTTTTGTCAAAGTTTTGTTTCCCATTATTTTTTGGTGTTTTTTTTGTTTTGTTTTTTCCTTAGGAAAACTCTCACTGGGAAAACTTCCAATTCTCTTGGTCTTTTCTTTCTCTCAGATGCTCATGACTAACTTGTTTTAACATCTGATTTTCACTTTAGTGACTGGATTGATGTGATATTACACAATAGGACCACCTCACTACAGAAATAGGAGATGGAGGCCTTTCGGGAACAAATTTGATATGTGTTTTCAAATGTACTTTTATATTGGCAAAGTTGTTGCTCATATTTTAAAGGACAATCTTTTCATGAAATTGAAATTTAATTTTCTACTTGAATACTTTTATTTCTGTGGCAAAACTTGCTGTTTAGTGGCAAATAATACATTACCCTCCTATAACTGTACTTAAAACTTGATTTTTTTCAGTGGGAGTTTGAATTTAATGCCAGTTGCATTTGGTCTCCACAAATTTTTGTTCACTAAGAGCAAGGAGCATTTGGAAACTTGACTTTTCAGTGGTAGGTTTTATGGCGGTCAGTTGAGAAGATGTTTCAGCTTGTCAACCAAAACAAGGCACTGGAGCACCCTGATCTGTTAAAATTAAGAGTTTTTATTCTGTCTTTTATAGACTGAGGGATAAATTTAAGACCTTTTTTTTTTTTTCATTTCAAAGAAATGGAACAAGCCAATTAAGAAGCCCAAAATAAACTTTTAAATGGCTAATCTTCCTCTAAGTCAGTGGCTCTCAACCTGTGGGTTGCGACCCCTTTGGGGGTCAAATGACCCTTTCACAGGGGTCACCTAAGACCATCGGAAAACAAAAAGATATTTACGATTCATAACAGTAGCAAAATTACAGTTATAGAGTAGCAACAAAAATACTTTTATGGTTGGGGGTCACCACAACATGAGGAACTGTATTAAGGGGTCGCAGCATTAGGAAGGTTGAGAACCGCTGCTCTAAGTTCAGACAGCTTTATTCAAGTTCCACATTCCCCGAAGCCTCTATGAGTCCGTCTTTGCTTTTACTAACCATGGGAAATTTTGAGTATCATTTATGCCATTTAAGGGAGACCTGTGTGCAGCTCCTATGCTAACTGGATCTTACGATTTGACTTTCACTTGTATTAAGTGGCCTACACTTAATAAATAATTTTAGTATTCTGTTCTTTAACCAGCCGTATAGGAATTAGTACAGAATAAGTTGTTTTAAAAATAGTCATGTTTGGATGAAGTGTTGGTGTTTGGAGGAGCCTCAGGGGTCTTTATTTCCCAGGCTATAATACGATTTGTGTGGCTCCTTGAATATTTATTTGTTTTGGAGGAGGTGACATTGGCTTAAATTAAGCTCAGTGACAGCCATTGGACATAAGGTCAGTACTTGGGGTTATTAACTTTTATAATCGATGGGTTTACATGTACTATGTGGGATTTTTGTGTATTAAAGTATTTGTATTTAGCCCTTAGGGCTAGAGTGGCATAGAGGAAAAAACAGGGGTCTGGGATCGGGGAGCCGGGGGTTGAGTTCTGGCTCAGTCAGGGACTTGTAGTGAAACTTGGATATGTTGCTCTGTCCGGCTCTTCCATCTCTCTATCTGTAACATGAGGGGCTGTATATAAAAGTGATTTTTCTGCCTTGGAAATTCTAGATGATCTCAGAAGTGCCGTTCCCCTCCTATGATTCCCAATTATAAAGTGATTTCTGTTGCAGATGGTTTGGTACCCAAGATTCAGCAAAGGAAATACTGTTGTTCCATCTTTTCCCTCCACAGCGCCAATTCGTAACTTTGGAAAGTAGATGCCTTTTTATTTATGGCCGCTTTCCAGCCAAGGCCAAGGCTGAGCCCAGCAAAGAAGAGTGGTCTTGTGGCCCTGTAAACAGTTCTGTGCCTGGGGAGCTCTCAGGAGGATTTGCTGTGGTGGCAGGGCCTAGCCTATGAGCCCTGAATGTCAGGTGACACTCCCTTTCTTTTCTTCCTAAGACCCTGTCCCTTGACTAGTTATTACCTAAGCTGGGCATCAGTAGCTGCTAGAAAATAGAACTGCGTTCCACATTGTCAGAAAACCTAAGTTTCTATCTGCTTTATGAGGCTGACTGCCCTCTTGATATCCATCACCTTATAATTTTGATATAATAATGAATATTTGACTAGGGATCATAAGTTTTACATTTTTACAGACGTTTATATACTACAAAGTCTTTCCTTGGTCTTTGACTATTTAAATGTAATCATTTGATTCGATCATCTGTAAACCGAGTATCTCCAGGGTGCCAGCATCTCTGCCCTCAGGAGCACTGGCACCTAGTTCTCCTTTTGGTCAGTTTTCTGCTCTCCCCCGGATTGCCGGTATGAAGTGTTTCTCTTCACTTTAGAGGTGCAGCCTTGAAGGAGAAATATGATGGGGGGGCCCAGTGTACATGGTAAACCCATTAACCCTAATACAGGACTCTGCCCCGGAAAAGAGGTTCCTACAACTTCAGTATTTTATCAACTTTAAAATAGTTTTATAATGAGGGGCTGCTTTTGTTTAAAAGCGAAGAAAAACCAAATTCCCACATACTTATATAATATGAGGTGATGCTTGCAATCAGAATTGCAGGGAATGGTGCTCTGGGTGTACATTGGGCTCCAGTATTTGTTAATAGCAGTATGGGATTACTCTAAATGTGAACTTTAGGAGATGGGTATGGTTTTAATAACACTCTCAGGACTGCTGGTAATGTCCCCCCCCCCCCCCGCCCCACCATGTTTTTCTCTCCAGATTGTACACAGGTGGGTTGGTTTCAGTGATGCTTTGGGGGCTTTCTGTACGTATTAATAGTGAATATGCATGTATTGGTCTTAAGATGTACTGTGACACTTTCAGAAAGGCTCCCATTTAAAAGCATGGCCTTTCATGAATTTCTCTGCAAAGCTAGTTAGTGTTAGCGGAAAATAACAGCTTATTATTGCAACCTCGTGAGGCTTGTGAGTAGATTCCAGGAGAATCCTGCTCTCTGTCTTCCAGGACTTAAAAAATGGAGAGAGCAGTAGGGACAAATACATTAAAACACATACACAGCAAGAGGTAAGCTCAGGAATGAATGTATCTTTATTTTAATTGTATGGTTTATGGGGTTTTTGTTGGGAAGATTTTTTTTGAGACAGTGGGATTTTGAGAGGTCACTGCCAGAGGAAGATTGCAAGTATTCAGCCCTGAGGTGGGGTGGTTTAGATTAGCACACATGATTCACCATGTCTTTTGTAATGCTTCGGTCAAGCTGTGGCATGCCATTCTGTCATGACTTTTCAAGGTGTGGCTTAGTACATTTTCCTATTCTTTGGTCTTTCAGAGGATGAATAATAGCAGTCTTGCTGAACAGAAGTTGGCTTTGTGGTTTTGGCTACAGAGATTTTTTTTCCCCCACAACTGCATAAGCGGCCTTGTCTCAGCCCCCTGGGCACTGTACCACGTGGGCAGGACAAACCTCTCCTGTGTGGAGTAGCCACCACACTCGTGATGTGGGACTGAGGCGTTCCCATCCCCGTAATGAGCCATGTGGCGTATTCAAACCCACCATTGTTTGTTGTTATGTGCAGCACACTTCAGATCAGTGAACCTGTAAGCCCTGCCTTAAATAGGGGTGGGGGGAGTTGGTCAGAATTATATGCTCTTGATCTCTTAACACTCTCTTGGATGGAGGATGCCATTGGGAGGGCTCCTGTCTTCCGTAATTGCTTTCTCCCTTCTTCCCTTGACGGTTCTTACTTGGGAGTATTGGAGTGATGGCTGATTTTACCCTCCCACTAATTGCCTGTGGAGCAGCTCTGCTCTGGGCCATAATGGGTTGGGTGTGGCCATTCTGTTAACCTTCTGGGTCACCATCTCCTCTTTTTCCTAGCTCCTCTGTCTAGTACCTTTTTGTACAGTTATGTTTTTGCCATTTATTTTAGGAGCTGTGTGTGGGAATATTTGGGATCTTGCTGTATTTATGCCTGTGAACTATCTTTTCAATTCATTTTGTAGTCTTT